GCATGGCGCAGAGGAGAGCTACTGGACTCTGCATAGAGTCATTGGATGGAAGTTCCCAGTTCCCACTACTGCTTGTATTTGAATGCGATGGGATACCGAACGTACCATGCCTCACCTACAGCACCTAGCTCATCACTTTCCTGCTCTAGATCCAGAGGCTGATATCCTACTCTTGCTGGGAAATAATGCCCCACACGCCTTTCTCTTCTCTGAGTCAGTCAGCGGCCCTGTAGACAGCCTAGTGGCCATCAAATCTCCACTGGGATGGGGGATAGTAGGAACTGTCAGTGACGCCCAGATGCAGGCTTCAACTCAGGCACATGCCTTAGCACCATCCATTCCAACCGCCGTCTGATGCCCTTTAGCACCATTGAAAACAAAAATGCCGTTCCAACGTAAAAGGCCGCTGGCGATCAGTACACTTTTGCTAGGACACCCTAAATGGTCGCCAACAACCACCAGACGTCCACTAAGACGCTCTACATGGGCATATGCCTCCGCAACACCCTTTCCAGCAGCTTCCCGATGTCCTTTGACACTGTGGAAGCAAGAGTACCGTTCCAACCCTAAAAGGCTGCCAAAAACGACCAGCAGACTTTCACCTTTGCCACCAAGAGTACCTGTACAACCTAAAAGGCCACCAGAGGTGACCAGCAGACTTTCACCTTTGCTATCGAGAGTACCTGTACACCCTAAAAGGCCACCAGAGGTGACCAGCAGACTTGCACCAAGAGGACGAACTTGAAGATTGAACCTCAAGCTTTGCATGCTTTGCTTTGTTTGATGTTTTATTAATAATGTTTACTGTTTTTCTTAGTTACATAGCTAACTGTTGATCTTAGCTATATAGTTATCTGCTATTCAGTTAGTATTACTGTTTACTGCTTATCTTAGTTTATAGTTAATTTTTTACTCTTCCTTTAATAGTGGAATTTACAATTCCAGGCGGTGAGTGTGCTGTCCCAGCCAGTCTATGGGAAATGGATAGTTACTTAGGAATTATGAGCTGTCCCCTTAAGGGAATGCAACATGGTAAATGTAGTTAAAGCTATCCTGGGAAATGTAGTTCATGTCACATGACCACATCTGTAATCCTGATTGGTCACTGGATTGACCCTTGGTGGATTGGGGGAGGTTTCCCTCATTCTTTGTCTGAACTCTCTATCTCATAGCACCTTCTTTCTATCGCTATGAGATAGGTTAGGAGATAACCATCTTTTACCTGCAAGGCTGATATACAAAGGATTGGTCATTAAAGAAGAACTTCGTCACAAATGTGAGTTATGAAATACTTGATGTACCAATAAATGTACTTTGTTATGGATGTTTTGTGGAATCTATCTATCTGCATCTGCACAGCTACAAATCCACCTCTGTGCAAGAGACAGAAAAGAACTTGAAGCTGACACTAGAAAAAAACAGAATTATTTTAGGTTTCACATCTCTATTATAGAATGGAAACCATTGATAAAACAATATCTCATTCCCTCAAATCCCCCATTTTCCTTTTGAAAGTTGAAAGGCCTGGGGTAAAGGAAGACTAGTACCTACCAATCATATTTATACTATAAAATGGAAAATATTTCAATTCTATATCTGTGAAAATATGTTCTTCTCTCATATTATTTATGAGAGCCACTCTTATCCTCTCTGAGAGAATCCAGAAAAATGGTTTTATGTGGGCACATATATAAACTTTATGAGCTACAGATACTAGTTAAATAAAATCCTAAACATACGTAAGATGGTTCAGGCTTCTCAAAAACCAACCCTGGCACATGTAAATTAAAATCTAAGGAGGAATAAATTATACAAGCTTTTCATGAGGACTCAGCTTTTTTTTTTCACTTCACCTGGATAAAATCTAATGATATAGACAGATTAATGTCATTAACTTAGTAACAGATTTTATATATTATTATATTAGCCACAGCTCTAAATATTGAGAACAGTTCTCCCCAGTCACAATTTGCATAATAGCAAAACTGATTTTGCTAGGTGGGTCTGCTAGATACTTTTTAATTTCAAAATACATGGCCACAGCTAAGAATTCAAAGTCTATACAACAACAACAACAAAAACAACAACAACAGTGATGCAAAAGTAATAATTTTTAACTGTCACCATGCGCAAAGTAAGCTTTTCAGAGGCAACGACAACTGTGAATCTCAATTACACCAAAACCAGATGTGATTACTAATAACAATAGGTTTACAAAACTCATTTCATTTTAATGAAATCCCAATTCAGATTCTTGCTGAAAGTGTCTGGAATATGTTGCATCCTCATGCCTGTCACTTAATCTGATGTGAATGTTTATTTATTGTGCACTTGGTTCTGAAACAGCTGCAATTCCCAAAGCTATTTCTAAAATGGTCAGTTTGCTGGAGAAACCAACCGGTCATTTGGATAAGTGTCAAAGTCTGGAGTCTTTTAAAAACATAAGAATAATGTATAGGTACGTCTTAAGTTTTTGACTTTGAAATTGTTTTCTGAACTTAAGTTTATTCTTACTTAAATCAAGAATGAGTTCACTCACTATGCTAAACCATGATTTATTGAAAACACCATAATGGTTAGGAATCTTAGGATCATATGGAATGTTAAAACATAAATTGTGATTCCTTAAATGAGTTCACACAACACAGTATGGCAAAATTAAGCAAATCTCTTTGTGCTCAACATGATGTGTGAAGCCAGCTTTCCCTCTTAATAATAAAATGAACTTTTTTCCTTAGGGCTCAGATTTATTTCTTCACTGCTTTTACATTCAATTATTTAAATGTACATTCTTCTGTTTAGAAAAAAGTAATAAAACTCTAATTTACCTTCTTACTTTCATGCTGTATAAAAAAAGTCAGAAGTAGACTGGTTTAATTTTGTAACATAAAAGACTTGTTGGAGTCTGAAATATAATTGACACAAAGGAGAGAAGTATGGGGAAGCTTTATTAATTAACTGGATCAAACACAATCAACTATTTTAGTTAATACATCTTTAGGACTGATTCTGTATAAGGATAACTTTTAGTTTATACTGTATGTATTAAACTACTGTCCACTGTATTTCTTCTGATGTAATCATAGAGAACTTTACACCATATCAGCTTATATCATTTCAGCAGTCCTTAAAATGCGGATTATTAAATCCTTCATGTTTTCTTGCATAAAACACTGAATTTTAGCTAATTCCTGCATCTACAACACAATGCATCTTTTTATATTGTTAAAAGATATCAGAGCAATTCTAATAAATCACTCCCATTGTTTTTGGAGACTTTCTATTTAAAAAACTTCTGCTGCCTGGAAGAGGAGATACTGATAGTGTGGCAACCATTTTGCTGCCAAACAGAATATCTAACACAAGGTACACAAACTCAAGTTAAGTTCTTGAGAGTCTTAGAGCAATCCCATTCTTCTTGAGCATATGGTTTATGTAACTTATACAGTCCAAATTGAGGAATCTTGTCTCTACACATCCAAGATTCATAATATGTAACTGTTTAACTTGCTTATCTACAAGTAAACTACAGATAAATATCACATTATGGATTAATTGCAGTTAAAACAGCAACACTGAGTGACAAGTAGAGTCACTGCATGATCCAGGAGGAGAGTAACCAAGGGCAGAATGGCTGAATAGAGAAGATGCCATTGGTGACAGCTAAGAGGTGGCACAGACTGTGGGAGCAGGCAACTCCAACACGTGTGGAGTAAGCTAATTGATCCATAAGAGTGTTTGGTTATATTAAAAAGAAATTACCACCCCAGGTTTATACGACAGTACTGAGAAATGGCAGGAATTTGGGGAGAAATTTAACCCTTAAGATAAAAAAAGTCTAACTTATGTTCCTTTCATATTCTTTCTGCCCATATTTGCTACTCCTCAGATATCTTTCTATTATTTTTTTTTCCATACAAGGTACCAGAGTTCATTAGGAAGTTCTGTTCATTGTTCAGTTTGATTATAAACACTGAAAGATAGTGGCAACCTGAGAACAATTTGAAGCATATTTGAGACTGGCATTTCTTATACGGTATTATGGCACTGAAATAAAGTCTCGGGCTGAGTTTAGCCACACTTTGCCTACTCATATCTCAGCAGCTCTGAGGAAGGGCATCCTTTTTTTCTATTCCAAGCATCTCCACTAAAAGGAATGAAAGAGCCATTTCCTTGAGACCCTAAATAACTTCGAGTTACAGGAACACACAATGTAGCATCCCTGGATGGGAATCACCAGGGGAATTTTTTTATTTTAAACTAGCAAGTTCTGCAGCCTGAAAAAAAAAAAAGATTCAAAACCCTGATCTAGAAAAATCAATATATAGAGAGAAACAGATTTATGGAAATCAAAGATATGTTATTAGCATGCTCTTTGCGAGTTAACACAAAGTAAGTCTGGCAAAGAACAGATTCTTTATGATCAGTCACACCCAACAAATGTCAATTTTGTAATACAAAAGCAATTACCTAAGATATTTTTTCAATTATATCAAATTTAATATAACATTTGGTTTAATTGCAAACAGCTGTTGATCTTTCTATAGTGCTCCATTAAAGAGTTACATATGTGTTCAGATGAAACATTCAGACTGCATTTATGTATTTCATGACAAATTTTAAGAAGCATACAAAAAATAAACCCCAAAAGTGATGAACACACTAGCACAGTCTCTTTTATTATGATGGTAATATATTCAAATAATGAGTTAACCATAGATAATTGGGATATTATTAGCACCTTGATCTCTTTGATTCTGGGTTTAATAATGCCCATTAAAATCTCTCTTTGGGGTGGGGTGGGGGGGTAGAAGTAACTATTTAAAATTTGATTATATCCCAAGGGAGGGAAGGAGGGCATGCCTGACTGAATAAGTGGTTTTTGCACTACATCGTTGCTTAAAAGTCTCAGTCGGAAAGTCCATTGTGCATGCATACATATACAGGCGGGAGTGGGGGAGTAAAAAAGGACACAAAATATCTGTGACTTGTAGACTTACCTAACCACCTCATTAGCGATGTCATGATCTGAAGATATTTAGTTTTCTGCACATTAAAAAAGGTGAAAGGACCCAAAAGGAGAGTAAATACTGCCTGAAAGAAAAACAATTGAGAAAAATAATTAAGATTAAAAAAAACAATTGAGAAAACAATGCAGATTAAGGAAACTGGTAGAAGTATAAAGAATTCATTGAAATACAGTTTTACCAATTATTATTCACTTAAAAAAGAATAAATTTGCTTATTAAACAATTTGCTTATTATTTTGATTAAGGTACGAGGCATAATACTAATAGGCTTCATCACATTCAGCTGGTAGACAGTGCTATACAAGTTTCTCTACCTCAGATTATACCTACCATCCATTATTAATGTTTTTTGCAAATTTCTCCAAAGAAGAAACAAATTTTGATATTTTTAGTAAGACTCAAATTTGTTCCAAACTGGCTTATTAAACGTATATCATTAATACTAAAATATGTCATATAGAATGCATCATCAGAGAAAGTGAAAAATAGCAAACAAAAATTCAGAATACACATTTATGTAGGTGCAAAAGCAGCCAATATTTCTTGCACGTTTCACTACTGACTTGATTAATCATCCATTATGTCTTTTTTTTAATTGACAGAAAGGTGGACAAATCCAGTTGGGACTGAAGTCTAAAACAGACTTTCTTTTCACTCTGCTTGACTCGATGAAAATCACCCTTAACTTGTTATTTGTCCTACTGAATATTCATGTTTTGTCACGTAAGATAGAAGAAAGTGAATGTGTTCATGAGCATGCATTTCATTTTTATTTGGACATATATCCCAGGTGCAATCATGTCTCTCCTTGTTAACCAAGGTGTTGAAAAAAATGATGGGAGATTCAAAGTTAACTTTTTTAAAGTATTTGGTTCAGGAACTCATCTCACGGCCATATTTTCAAAAACCAACAGTAGTGGTGCATAAACCATATTGTCAGAATTAATCCAGTTTTATGGGATTATCAATAACCTGTTTCCACATTTCCTTTCAAGGGATTTCCAAAATGTTCAGAAGTATCTCTTAAAGCATATCATAAACATTTTACAAGTTCTCTAGATTATTATTATTATATACACAATATGAAATTACAGCTACCAGTTCTTTAACATGTGTTAGCCTTCATAAGCATGGAGTTATTTCCAAGAACCTAGCATATTGTAATGTATCAGAGTGGTAGATATGCAGATCCAAGTCATGTGGCCTTTGTAATTAATAGATGGAAATTTTGTCAATGTGCAGTTTATCAAGTGTCATCCGAGGCTTTTTCATATACCACCCAATGTACCAATAACCACTGTGACCACAGTCAGTTTATGCCATAATCTTTCAACTTTGTGATATTTGTGATGCTTGGTGATCTCCAATTCTTTGTCTTCTATTCTACTACCCCTGAAATTGTCACATCAATTATCCACATAATAATTATCCATTCTTCTTTTCAACCACACTTAAATCTGTTGTATTATGCAAGACTTTATCAGGTTGTATTTGGAAATCCCACAATATTTTAACCTGCTCATTTTTCAATTATTTTTTCCCAACTATATTCTCCCACTAATTTACATTACTGGGTCATGATAATTTATCATAATCGGTTTGTGAATCTTCTTGCACGAGCTGTAAAATCTACTATTTCTTCTTCTTTGCACAATCTGCACCTTGAATCATTTGATTATTTTTTTTCCAGTTCTGGCCTTGATTGTATTAGTTTAAATAGTTTGCTCTTAAGCAGCCAAAATCAAGCCTCCAGTTTCTTTCTTTTTTTAATTCTTCCAATTGTAAGCTATTGCCAAATTTTATCTTTTCCACTTTCCCTGCCGTCTGTCATCCCCCTGTTAGAATCTGACTCTGAGGGAAAGGAGGAACAACCGACAGGGAGAGGGAATGTGGCTCCGGAGATTGTGGAAGAAACTGGGGAAGGGTACAGGCCAGCTGGGCATTCAGAGGAAGACCCAGGCCCATCCCCCCTGTTAGGAATATAAGTCACCTAACAGGTATTTGGGTTAGAAATATATAAACCAGGACAAACATTTTAGTACTATGTCTTTAAGAGATTGCAAAAACTGCAATTGGATGTTTAAGATGGATAACAATAAGATGGAGTCAGAAACCGGGATTGTTTTAGTCTTAGTCTTAGTCTCAGAAGAGAGTGTGTCTGAGTGAGTATCTCTGTTTCCTTCTGTTGGAAAGTATTGCCGTTCCATTTTTCCTAATTGACTGATATTACTGGATTTGATGTAAGTCTGATACTGAACTGTTTTTGACACTGGAATTTGATATTTCTATTATCCCTGGATTGAAAAACTGACTGATTTTACCTGTGAATGACTTTGGACTGCTTATTTTGGACTTTGCTTAAACCTTTCTTGAAGTAAAAACCTACATTTACTGTACAGTGTATCTGTGTACTGTGTGTGTATTATTCAAACACTTCTCTCAAATACGTCTCCCTGTATGCGCTCATTCTCCTAATGGGGAATTACCTCAACACCCCCCTTCATCCTAAGGGACGCAGGGAGGAGCAGATAAGGGAGAAAAGTGAATGGCGTGGTCTATGGGGAGGAAAGGGCCTTGATCCCCTTCAGGGGCTGCAGCTGTGAGGACTGTTTAAAAGGACAAACTGCGCATGGGCCAGTGCTGGAAGCAAAGTGTGAAAATATTTCTAGTCTGTCAGTTCTTATCTGAGTTCTGGCGTCTCTCCCAGTGTGTGTATTTCAATATCTGTGGACGTCTTCAAGCCCTTATCCTGCCTTGTTTCATTAATCCTTCAGTGTGTTTTGTGTTGTTTTTTTTCTATTTATATATGTTTTGAGTTTGAATGGAAGTTCTTCCTTTTCGCAACTGTTTGTGGGGAGTTTTTTCTCCAGTCAATGATAATTGGACCTTTAAAGCCAAGTTGAAGGAATTAAAGGGACTTCACCTGTTTTTGTGACATTGTTGCTTTTGTATCCCACCCTGGGTCATCACACCATCTTTTAAAGAAATTGACCATGTAATGCTTTTCTTGCCGGTATTTTGTTCATGTATTATTTTAATATTCAAATATTTTTTTTCTGTACATTGAGTAAGTTCCAATTTTTATCTTGCATCAGTCCCCCTTTTTACTGACTTTTACATAACCGAATGCATGCTTCACAGTTTATTTGACCTAAAGTAAACCTCTGCTTCTATTTTTGCAGAGCAGGTATAATCTATCATTATCACTTCAGGGACATAATGTATAACAAATAGTCATCAATTTTCTTGTTTTTCAGTCCAAACTGTCCTGTTCAGCTTGTGTCCAGTTAATAATTCCAAGTGTGTATCATGTCACAGGTTTGGCCCAGGTATTTATAGCTTTGATGGTGTTTCCATCATTCAGTTTTGTCTTTAGTGTTTTCCTCATTCTTTGGATGTATTCTTTATTAATCACTTTCTTAATTTATCCATGCTTGATGTTAAACATGTGCAAAATGTTCAAACAGGTACAATTCATTTTAAAACTAAACTTGAAAATTTCTGAAGTACCAATAAAATATTGAGTACTGATTAATTCTGTATCTATTTTCTATTTAATTAATACAGTCAAATAGTTGGGAAAAGAATATTCTGCTGCATATAGTCTATTCTATTGCAAGCCTGTTCAGCAAATAAAAAATACGATGCAATTTATATTGCGTATAGGGAATAAGACAAGTGAATTATCCTGGCAGTTTAGTATATTTATCCATAAATGTGAACGCACCGGTTGTGGTATGCTCATTGATTACATGTATGAGTACTTCTGTATCCAGAGTATACTATGCTGCTGGCTGAAAAGGAATAGTCTGGTGTATGGGTACATTTTATTCAGCAAATAATAATAAGACCCCTAATATTGTTTAATATCACACATTGGGTTGCTATTATTCATAATTCAAAAGGTGAATTCTCCAGAAATATTGAACCACTTTTCCTGGATTTAAGATTATAAGAGTCCTTGTGCAACTCTGACAAAACCATTTAAATCAACTCTGCTTGGAATGAAGGGGAAAAGGTGAATTCCGATTCCCTAAGGTAAGGCAACAGAGGAAAACAATATTTAGTGTTGGCAGGATACGCCTGAAGTTTAGTAAGGTGAACAACAGCTTCTTAGTCTCCAGCAACCCTAGAGCATCCTATGAGCAATAATGCAGTCTACATTCTGAGTGACAGGATGTGTGCTTAGTGAATCAGTGGCTGCAAGAATCATGTATGTACTTCACATAAATCATCTTTGCTACCTTTCTTCAAAAATTTCAGGATATGGTTTAAGATTAAAAACAAATGTAATATTACGAACTCATTTCTGAACTCATTATAAAGAAATGTAGGAATTAAAAAGTACAGAATATTAAGCAAAGGTTACAATAGCATTTTATTGTGTTTTTCACTGATCTTTGTCTTTCAGCTGGACCCTCAACAAACCATAATAAACATTTCAACATAACAAATCTATAAACAACACAGGTAGCTAATGTGACAGGCATTTCCCAAATACAAAGAAATATAAAATTCATGAATTCTGATATCCTTTTGCTGCATATAAGATCTGCTCTCCTGCTTTACCAAATCTGAAGATGCATCCAATGTCTTAAAACTCTTAAACATACAGAAAAAGGCCTCCTATGATCTTCTTTCTTACCCAACCTATTCCTTTCCTTTCTTAAACCTATTCCTTTAACCCTCAAAATTAGCTGCATATTTTTCAAGGGATTGCATTACTGATCTCACAGACCACAAAGTAATCTAATCTTACGTCTGATAGGAAAATTCTCCTTTTGTTGCCAGAGAAACATTCTTTTCCTTCTATGTCATTCCTATTTCTGCAGAACCAAGAATGAAGTTACAATGCAATTGTTAAAAACACTTGTCCAATGGCTATATAGAAACTTAGTGACTAAGTTTCACTAAGTTTCACTTAGTGATTAACCCAGGGGTGTCAAACTGGCGGCCCATGGGCCGGATGTGTCACACACAGGCCAGGCCCACCCCAGCTCCATGAAGGGAAAAAATGTCACTATACATCACCTGAGAGCAACGTGACACCGCGAGTTTGACGCC